ACGGTTGAATTCTCTGCCGCTGAACAGACGAGGCTCCGCCGAATGGCAGAGTCTTGTTCGGGGAGGTTGACCAACCCGATCTTGTTTATACGGGTTTTACGGGCATTTTTTGGCCGAGCCTACGGGCTCGAAAAAAAAAAAACACGTTAAACTCGGCCTTGTAGCACATGCAACCCTCGTGCGGGGTAGGGAGTCTAGATACCGAATCAAGCCGAGAAGCTCGGCTTGACGGTCGAACTCTCTGCCTCTGAGCAGAGAGGAACCCGGACGAGGCTCCGCCGAAGGACAGAGTCTCGTTCGGGGAGGTTGACCAACACGATCCCGTTTAAACGGGTTCTACGGTCATTTTTTGGCCGAGCCTAAGGGATCGGGAAGCCCACGTTAAACTCGGCCTTGTGCCATATGCAACCCTCGTGGGGGGGGTGGCTAGATACCGAATCGAGTCGAGCCGATAGTAGTTCACTCTAAACCAGACTGACAGTCATACTAACACCTTCCACATCTTGTATTATTATTTCGTGTAATATACCTTCGTTATTTCTACTCTTGTGTTCGTGTTGTTCTTCCTTCGTCCTAACCTGGACGATAACAATGATAATGTTGAGGATCTAAACATACGCGGAAATGCGATCAAAAGTTTCATTTATCCGCTGTTGACTCAATAAAACAACATTTTTATTAAGCTAACACAAAGTTGCACAATATATTTTAAACGAATAATATTTAAGCGGAAACGGAAGATATAAAATTTAGTAGCAGTAGCAGTACTAGACATTGGTTTATCTCACGTGATTATGTAAGCACACTGATTGGCCTAAATTTAATCGTTCTAGTGGTGAGACTAGAGCGACGTCTCTAGGGTGAACTCTTAGGCGATGGTATATGGAAACCTTGCGCCGTCCAGACCACATGCCCTCATCTCTGTCGTACCGACAAGGTAGAAGGAAATACGGAGCATTGTATTTGGAGCCAGTGTTGGCGGTCAAACGATTTTTGGGGGCTTCACTCCGCATTTTCTGTCTGGATTTACTTCCACATCTTTCTCCATTCAGCGGGTGTTTGAAATCGGTGTTTTCTTTTACCTGGATGAAATACTCTTCCGGGTTAACGCGCTCCATCTTCTTAAAGCAGCTGCTTATGAGGCGTCAGTGGCTCGCCTTCATCTCTTCCTTCGGCTTGGAGCTGAAGTTAATAATGAGAGCCTATTAGAGACGCAGGCTATGGAAGAATTTAATAGACAACGGGAGCTTGTCGCAACTACCACGACCAGATACAGAAATTACTCTTTAATAATAATAATACTTTAAAAACAAGTTTAGCGATTTGAATGTTCTCAAAACTTTCAAATGATGAGTTATTTGACCTTTAAAGGTCAGATTAAATTAAACAATACTTAAATTAGTGAAGAAAAAATATTTACTGAAATGTTTTTGCCGAATTCATTTCCTTAATTGGTTTACCGTATTTCTTATATTATATGTGTACGATTCTTCTATTTTAAAGTATTTTTTACAATAGCGTACCTTTTACAAGGCCCGGGGCTACTCAAGGTAGAAGATTACTTTAAGGGATAGTTTATATGGGTAGGAGGGGAAGATTACGATTAACTCTATACTTGAACAGATTAAAATTGTAGTGATCGAGGAAACATCCTCTTGGTGTCTGTTCCACAGGGCAGAGGTTCGTGGATAGAAGCTGTTCGAGTGGAACTTGCTTCTCGCCGATGGAATTTTTTTTAAGCAATTCCCCTCATGTAAGGCGGGAGTACGCAAGGGGTTACAGAAGGTTGATAACAAGAATAAAAAAGCGTGTTTGAGGAAAGTATACAGAGAAGGACGTGGAGCAAAGTCAAGTATCAGATGTCGAGTGACATTACACTTGAATATTTGAAGATTATGGTTATCAGGAAAGCAAGTAAGGGGAAGGGAGTTCCACAGAGGGGAAGTGCGAGAGAAGAAGCCGTTGGAGTAGAAGAGATGGTTACATTTAACCGTTTTTACAGTGAAAGGGTGGGACCGAGATGCCAACCTAGTAGCTCGATTAAATTCATGCAGTCTGGGAACCATCGAAAGTAGCTCGTAGGAACAGTTGCTGTGAAAATACTTGTAGAAGAGACAGACGGAAGCGACGGCATGTCTGTGAGAAAGCGACTGTAGACTAGATGCCCGATCAGGACCTATTGTCTTACATATTCGTCTCTGGATTTTGAGATGTACATCGGGGTCATCAGACCATATATGACAGCAATACTCCATTCAAGAAGAATGGTTTATTTATAGATTTGAAGGACTCAGATGAGAAAAACACTTTCCGGCATGACACAGAGAACCAACTTTCCTTGCTTGTAGACAAAGCTATTGATTCAATATATTTGTTCGACCTCATGTCAGCGGACAGCGTGAGATCAAGCAGGCGTAACGAGGCGCTTTCGAGAAGTTGAGCATCAGTTATTCTGATGGGAGGCAGGGAGGGTTCTATGTGGTGGGTAAAGGAGAGCAGTTTCGTTTTGGAGGCATTAAAGTTTATGTTGTGGATTCCGAGATGAAATTCGGTCTCCAATGAATGACAAACGCAGGAATTAAATATAAGGTATTAAATGTATTTACACAATAATACAATGGGTAATACTGTTAGTAAATCCAGGAACACGGTTAGTCGCAAAAATAATATATATATATATATATATATATATATATATATATATATACAGTCTCGAAGTAGGACTTCCTTAGAGTCTACGTGCTTATAACTGTGACTTCTACAAGGTTACCTCACACTATTACTCTACCTCCAACTCAATCACAATCTCTGCTCACTCTCTCTCACTCTCTCTATATTCTGACTGACTCTGGGTATTTAACGGCAGCAGTACAAGTAACACTTTGGTCGAGTCCACTTATATGAAAAAGGGGAGGACACCATAACAGTTTACAAGCCATTTCCTGCCCCAGTCAAACTAATGTTTGCTACTATGGAAGTAGCATGGCAGAAACAGGGAATGTAGTTCTTCCGAGCACTTTCCATGGAAATAGCAATAGAGCAGTCAGATGAGATTGGAAGGTGTAAAATAATTTTATCAATCACAAGGACTCGGGGACGCTTTTGAATCCTATCAAGACTGGAAAGTGAGAAGGTGTCAGCTCACGCCCAAATATTACAACAGTACTGTTCGGCATGATCTGGCCTTTATAAAGGTAGAGGATAGCATGAGGAGTCAGCTATTTACTGGAATGGTACAGGAAAACTATCATCGGGTGGGAGGCCGAATGTTCTCTCATGGCACGGTACCTCTTCGTGGGGCCATCTGTGTACCCTGACTGGCGGGGATTCGGGTCTTATCGGCGGTGGTGGAATGTAACCAGTTTTGTTTTCAGGGCATTGAAGATAACCAGCCATTTTTCCCGCCACTGTAAGATAGGAAAAGATGTCAGCTGGCAATCTCGGGTCGTTATGAGTTTTAGAGCTGAGCCCGTATATCGTCATACATCTGGCGTTTAGTAATATATTTTCCTAGCAAAACCAATTACTGTTAAAATTAATTAACATTTCCCTTTTTTCTTTAGACAAAAAAATTTAGAGCCTCTTTCCTCTTAAAAATGTAAGAGACACTTAATAAATTTTCTTTAAATTGTAATTATGTTTTTAACCTAGAATATCGACTTGATGTTGAAAACTTTCGGATATACAGTGTAACCCGGATATAAGATACCCGGATATAAGAGAAACCCGGATATAAGAGACTTCTTCTCCGGTCCCGACAACTCTCTTATATCCGGGTTACACTGTATTTACATGATTCGCTATTATCCGCGGATTTTATCATCATCCACCATTCTGCAAAGGTAGAACAACTACATAGAATCAATTGCTTCATCTACTGCAAGGATAGTCGATTCTCTGTGTCACACCAGAAGCTTTTTCTTGACTGGGTCCAGCCTTCAAATCTACAAATCTGCCATTCGTCTTTGCATTGAATACGGTTGTCATATATAGTCTGGTGTCCCCGCTGTTCATCTTGAAGTTCTCGGCAAAATCCAAAGACGGATATGCAATGCGATAGGTCCTGATCTGGCATCTCGACTCCAATCACTTTATCACGGACGTAATGTGGATTCACTCTGTCTTTTCTACAGATATTTTCATGGTAACTGCTCTGACGGGATATTTTCACTGGTGCACCAACTTCATGAATAACCTTGCTACGAGGTTGGCATCGAGGTCCCACACTTTCACTGTCGAAACACTTAAATATAACCGACTCTTCTACTCCAACAGCTTGTTCTCTCGCACTTCCCGACAGAGAAACTCCCTTCCTCTTATTTGCTTCCCTGATAGTTATAATCTTCGCATATTCAAATGTATTGTCAATCGACATTTTCTGATGCCTTGATCTTGATCCTGTTCTTCTCTTTAACCTTTCCTGACCCCCCTCTTTACTTTTAGTTTCACTCTCTGTAATCCGTTGGGTGCTAGTGCCACTCCTGCCTTGCGTGAGTGAAATGCTTAAAAAAATAGAATCTACTACAAATAAGGAGAATCGAATATAAACATCTCTCTTGGTTAGAGCACTTGCCGATAACAAATAACCACTAATTGGGTATTGAAAAATCAGATATGGCCTCAGAGATCAGGTGGCCGTCAGCGTATTTAGACTCGAAATCATATGTTAAGAGACGATTCGAAATAAAGAGTTGCTTACTTTGACCATTTTGATAAAAGAAATGCCCGAAATCCAATATCATATGTTTGAATGATGCCTGTCGACTTGGAGCGCAACGTCATTAATTCTTGCGAATAATGCTTTCTTTATCGATCTGGGTTTTCGCTAATAAAGATCGTGGATATGAATTTCTGTCAATGCATTTCATCTTTTCGCATGGTAGCGTGTATATATATATATATATATATATATATATATATATATATGGTGGGGTTTGAAAGATTTTCGTTTCGAAACATTTCATAACATCTGATGAATTGATATAATATCAGAATTCCTTTCAGAACGCTTTTATGATGGAGAGCTTTTCAACACCTAGTGGAACAAGGAAAAACAAGAAAAATGAAACAGATATATTTATATGAACAGATAGATAGATAGATAGATAGATAGATAGATAGATATGAACAGACTGATATAGATCGTATGAAATAAAATGATATATTTCATAAGATCTGATGAATTGATATAATATCAGAATTCCTTTCAGAAGGATTTCATTACGGAGAGCTTTTCAACCTCGAGGCGACAAAAGAAACAATAAAAAAATAAACAGATATCTCTCTCTCTCTGTCTCTCTCTCTCTCTCTATATATATATATATATATATATATATATATATATATATAGATATAGATAGATAGATAGATAGATAGATAGATAGACGGAGAGATATGAATACACTGATATAGATGATATGAGAAAAACTGAGATATATATAGATAGATAGATAGATAGATAAATATGAACAGACTGAGATAGATAGATAGATACATAGATATAAGTTATGTCACCTTCTAAGTTTGTGTGTGTGTGTGTTGTGATAGCTAGCAATCTTAGATAGATAGATAGATAGATAGATAGATAGATAGATAGATAGATGTTAGAGACAAAGAGCTAGCTAACTATATAGATAGATAAGGTTCTCATAAAAATCAATAAAGATTAATACACTCAGTCACATAGATAGATAGATAGATAGATAGATAATGAGAATAAAATAAATACGCATGTATATAAATAAAAGAAACAGCAAGATGAAAATCCTTTTATGCCTATGCGTTTCGTTCCCTGAGGAAATTTACCAAAGCAAGTCTAGAAATTCTATTTAGTAATCTGTATGGAGAACAAAAATAAAGTAATGTTATTTTATTTCTCCCCCACGTTATTTCTGTGCAGAAGCAATGGCTACTAAATGGAATTCTTACACTTGCTTTAATAACGTTCCTCAAGGTACGAAACGCGTTGGAATAAAAGGTTTTCCGCTTGTTTTTTATTTATATTGTTATTACATATATTTATATCTAAATCTATCTATCTATCTATCTATCTATCTATCTATCTATCTATCTATCTATCTATCTAAATAAATAAATAACTCTTCATCTCTCACTTTCTCTCTATCTCTCTCTATCTCGCATTATATATATATATATATATATATATATATATATAACTACATCACAACTATCAATATGTCTATATCTTCTAACATCTATCTATCTATCTTGTTAGCTATCACAACACACACACACAAACTTACAAGGTGTGCATAACTTCTATCTATCTATCTATCTATCTATCTATCTATCTATCTATCTCAGTCTGTTCAGATCTATCTATCTATCAATCAGTTTAGGTAGCAGGCGTTGCCCGGGTGTACATGGGTGCAATTGTATAACCGCGCCCCTGTATACCCGCACCCCCTGTCTAGAAATGTCTACCTGCGTCATCGGTTGCATCTAAATAAATAAATAACTCTTCACTCTGTTATCACTATCTATCTATCTATCTATCTATCTATCTATCTATCTATCTATCTCTACTATCAGTCTATCTATCTTTCTATTTGAAATAGATAGATAGATAGATAGATAGATAGATAAACACGAAGCGAAAGATAAATCAGAAGAAACTGAAATTGTATATATCATATATACAGTATGCGATGGATAAATTGACGTCTAAATTAACCCAAAATTAAAATAACACTGACATCTCATTATAATAGATATATTTACCAAAATTACACAAAAATATCTTGAAATAATAAAGTGTAAATTTATTCAATAAAATCACCATTGGCCTCAACCACGGCTTCCAGATGACTTCGGAATCTCCTGCATCTTTTCTGGACGGTCTCCTTGTTTAATCCTTGCCTTCAGTTCATCTTTGCTGGTCTCTCACTCAACTTCGTTCATACGTAATAATCAAGGGGATTGCAGTATAGGAAGTTAGGTGTCCAGATGCAAGGGTTGATGTTGCTGCAGGATTCTCTTGAGTCCTGTTGCCAGACACAAGGTCTTCCTGCATCACTCTATTTATCCAGACAATTGATGTACAACTCCGTATTGAGTCCGAGGCCCTGTAGGAAGATAAATGGTGACATAACGTCATCATCATTAGTGATCACTCCAAATCACCATTTGATTTATGCATCTCTTACCGAATCCTCTGAACTGTCCGCAGATTGAGGCCCAAACACCCTGAAATGTTCGTATTGGAGCTTCTGGCATAAATGCCAAGCAGCGCAGCATGCGGTTTCTAAATTAATGGCGGAGTGAATTGCGTCGTGGTGCTCTTTGTCTTACAGACGGTGTCCAACTGAGTTTACTATAATGTGCAGTCGACAAAATCAAAAACAAACCACGCGCATGCGCGAAATTAAATCTTTAAAATGGCGACAATTTAACCATTACACGCTGTATGTTTAGACTAAGCTATCTAGCCAGCATGCTAGATATAAACAGACGGTGATAGATAGATAGATAGATAGATAGATAGATAGAATATGAATAGACTAAGACGGAAAGATAGATAGATCAGGAAGTGACTAGTTGATAGATAGATAGATAGATAGATAGATAGATAGATAGATAGATATGAACAGACTGAGATAGATAGATAGACAGAAGTTATGTACACCTTCTAAGTTTGTGTGTATGTGTGTGTATTGTGATAGCTAGGAAGATAAAGTGAGATAGATAGATATATAGATATATAGATAGATAGATAGATAGATAGATAGATAGATAGAATATGAATAGACTAAGACGGAAAGATAGATAGATCATGAAGTGACTAGTAGATAGATAGATAAATATGAACAGACTGAGATAGATAGATAGATAGATAGAATATGAATAGACTAAGACGGAAAGATAGATAGATCATGAAGTGACTAGTAAATACATACATACATATATATATATATATATATATATATATATATATATATATGGTGTGTGTATGTGTACCACGAAATGTATCTTTAATGTATTAGACACCCGACAACATTCATGTTTCTCTCACTTAAATCTCTTCCTCTCCCTCTCTAAAATTTCTCGCTGTTAAGTTTTAATCTCCCACCATCTCTCGTCTGTTACCCCTCTCTTTAGTTCTAACATTCGTCCCACACTCTCATACTTACACTGTCTCTAAATTCTATTTTTATTTCCGGAGTTATTTCTTCTGTTTTCTTTTTGAATTTGTAGGTCTGATGAATTGGATCGTATTTACGATTCCAATGGAATAAATTATGACCATGGAATATTAGTGTTTAAGCCTTTTTATCATATAATATATATATATATATATATATATATATATATATATATATATATATATATATATATATATGTTTATTAAAGACATTTTTATGTTTATAAACAGTATTAAATAACATTTACCGGCCTGAATGTCCGAGAAAAATTTCATAGAAAATATTCGTCCTTTGACAGGATTCGAACCTGCATCCTATACGGAACCGTCATTTACGCTGACATTGCCTAACAAAACTCCGACAATTTATTTATTAAAGACATTTATTAAATGTCTTTAATAAATAAATAACTAAATAAATTGTCGGACTTTGTCTATTTCTTAATATATGACCTCATTTTTTTACATTTGATACGCCATGAGCAGTTATGAATGTACGAGATTCATGGAAGATTGAAGTTTATAAGCAGTAAATTCGACCTTGCCAACCGAACAATCCTTTGTGGCCGAGTCGGTTAAGGCACGTCAGCGTAAATGATGGTTCCGTATAAGATGCAGGTTCGAATCCTGTCAAAGGTCGAATATTTTCTATGAAAATTTCTCGGACATTCAGGCCGGTAAATCTTATTTAATACTGTTTATTATAAACAGAGTATTTACTTGTATCATTAAAAAAAAGAACGTTAAACATAAAAATGTTTTTAATAAATAAATTGTCAGACTTTGTCCATTTCTTTTTTTTTTTTTTTTTTATATATATATATATATATATATATATATATATATATATATATATATATATATATATATATATATATATATTAACCGAGGTACCCGGCATTGCCCGGGTGCAATTGTATAAGGGCACCCCCGGTCTAGAAAAGTTTTCCTGCGTCATCCGTTTGTATAGTAAGCTACTCCCACCGCTCATCCTTTTTACGTTATGTCCTTCATGGAATCATATGAAGAGACTATTGGTTAAATGGCAAATGCCGATTTTTGGGACCTAGTTTCTCGCAGATTTAGTCCACTTAACTAAAATAATCTAAACCAAACATTCGCGCGTATGTGTCATATATAATTTATATAGCAAATTTGGAAAGCATCGGATGAAAAAACATTGAGTCAGGGCCGAAAAACGGGCTTTTTTTTTTTAAACAGTTTTTCGTGTTTTTTCGTTATAGTGAACAGGGTTAAAAAGCACTTATTTCTTGAATGATGGCATTTTTATTTTTGCGACATGTTTTAAAAAGATTGGATAAAAGAATAAGTAAATTATTCAAGGTTTTATTTTAAGTAGGACGAAAAACATGATTTTTTTCACAGGTTTTTTCCATTTTTTTTTTATTAAGCCAATATCTGAGAAAAAACTATCAAGCACTCTACATAAACCTCGTAACATGAGCTAAGTTTTGCATTAAGTGCAAAGAACATCAGCCCTTCCAGTAAAAATTTTGTTTGCGTGTAACTTTGATTTGGTTTTTGTAAAAAGCTGTACCCACTTTCAGTTTTAGCGATTTTTCTGCCAAACATGGGCGGGGGGGGGAGATTTAAAAGTTGGCCTTGATTTATCTTGGTAGATTAACATCATGTATGTACGATTTCAAATTGTCTGAAGTGGATCAAGAAATGTGGATGTGAATAAGATGCATGCAGACACACAGAGAGACACACACGGACAGACATTTTCTGTTTTATAGATACTGATATGTGTGTGTGTATATATATATATATATATATATATATATATACCGTCATCCACAGACAGTTTCGCTGTTTCACAGCTCATCAGTGTGGATAGACATCCGGTTGCCTCCAGCTAGGGTCGAAACCCGACTGAACTGGTGTCAGTCGGAGATTCTGAGCCATCGGATAGATGGATGGATGGATATATATATATATATATATATATATATATATATATATATATATATATATAGAGAGAGAGAGAGAGAGATAGATAGATAGATAGATAGATAGATAGATAGAGAGAGAGAGTGAGATAGATAGATAGATAGATAGATAGATAGATAGATAGATAGATAGATAGATAGATAGATAGATAGATAGAGAGAGAGAGAGAGATAATGACAGAATGCAAGAGAAGATAGCGAGAGAGGGATGGATAATGAGAATGAGATAGATAGATAGATAGATAGATAGATAGATAGATTTAAAATGACTAGTCTAGATAGACATATAGAAGTTGAAGAAACTAGAAGAGAGATAGATCATGAAGAGACTAGTAATGATAGATAGATAGATAGATAGATAGATAGATAGATAGATAGATAGATAGATAGATAGATAGATCAGGAAGAAATTAGTAATGATAGATAGATAGATAGATAGATAGATAGATAGATAGATAGATAGATGGATAGATAGATCATGAAGAGACTAGTAATGATCATAGATAGATAGATAGATAGATAGATAGATAGATAGATAGATCAGGAAGAAACTAGTAATGATAGATAGATAGATGGATAGATAGATCATGAAGAGACTAGTAATGATCATAGATAGATAGATAGATAGATAGATAGATAGATAAGAATAGACTGAAAATCAGTGAAATCCAGTTATCTCCTATAATAGAGTCTGTCTATAGAAAGAATTTTAATTTTGGCTATTGTCATTAATGAGCTGAGATTTGACTAAAACAAGCCCATATCCCAAGAGCTGATAACATCTTTTTGACGCATAAATCTGTGTCGCCTTCAGAAAAAGATTTGTTTATGTCTTTTTTCATATCTCTTGTGACTTCAGCCGTAAAATATGCTTTTCACGAGCCACTTTCCTGATGAAGACAGATTTAATCATTAAAAAAGGGAGGCATTAATAAAAACATTCACATGATTTTTCTATCGGCGCAGGAATGTTTACATATTTCGTTTGGAACAATAAAGCAAGTAGGATTGTGTTTATAAATCTACTGAACACATTTACGGCTGACATATTGTGTAATAAATACTTCAAATGGAGCAGGCATCACTCGACAATGGAAATCGTGTGTCGCCCGCAAACCATTAACAGTGATTTCGATCCTGGTCTAAAGCACTAGAAATTTGTCCTTCAGTGAATCTTAGACAATTCAGAAAAATAACTCATTTACAGTTTTATAGCTATAGTTTCGAAACGTTTAAAAGCCGAGGACACTGCTCATAAAAAAATATCTTAGCAAACCCCTATTTTTGGCATTTAGTTTTTAAACTGAAGATTAATTAAAATAGAGATTTATTTTAATTTTAAAAATAATTTTAAAAATTGTTTTTACCTTGATTAGATTTATTAAAATTCTAATATAGGTTACGATCTGCTTTGGTAGTGTCAAATGAAATTCACCAGCCACGTTCAAATTTTGACCTAGATAGATGCATTCCCTTTCGCAATAATGCTTTTAGGAAAGTTTTCTCTCTCCAGAAACGGCTAAAAAGTAGACACTCCCCACCAAAAAAATAAATAAATAAATAAAAAAATTATAAAAAACGAAAAAATTAAGGTTTTAAATAAATTTTTAAAAATGAAAAAAATCTTTCTAGAAGCTTTTATTTTACTTTTAATTTTAAGCTACTAGATTAAATTTAATATTTCCAATAAGCAAAATAACTCGCTGTATTTCAAAAACTAATTTAAATTGACTGGAAGGAGTTTTTTAATGTTTTTTTTTTTTTTTTTTTGCTAAGATAGCTTATTGGCGACCTTTCATTTTAGTCATCTTTCATCAGATTGTAATTTTCTTAAAAAAAAAAAAAAAAAGGAAAAAGTATATTTTATTTTTGGAAGATTAAAAAAATCTTCCTCAAATAAAATATACTTTATTTGAGGAATATTAGCTGATTAAAGTATAATTAATCTGATTTGAAGCAAATATTATTTACTTTGATTTTAAAATATCACAGAAAAGCATTTTTTTTTAAACCTGACAGTGGCTGTGTTTTTAAGTGGCATTTGAAGTTTTTAGTAAGGTCATGACAGATCTAATATTCTTCTTCTGAGACTTTATCCGCAAAACGTAATTGAAGAAAATGACGTAAGCTCCTTTTTTAATTTTTAAGTACTCAGTAATCTTAAAAATGTTGGAAAATGTTCTCCGTAATCTAATGTTTTATTGAATTTTAGAAATTTTGGCTTTAGATTTACTATAATCATCGTTCTTATTTTCTGATAATGGTTAACGGTACTTACAGCACGTTTATAGATTATTAAAAAAATAAAAGAAAACAAAATTATTTTTGCTTGATGTTTTGTATTAATATTTTTCATTTATGATAAGTAAATATGGTTTTCACTTGATAATAATATCATCATAACCATTGTAATTATACAGAACTTTAAGAGATTTAAAACATAATACATTTTTTTTAATTAAGATAAAAAAAGTGAAAACAATTCTTGTAAAAATTCATTATTCATCAAAGAAAATTTTTCTTAAGGAGATAGAGTCCTTAATATATCCTATTTATAAAAGCAAATAAAAGCTTTTCTAGTTAAATAATGTTTTAGTTTTATTGCAATTTTTTATTTTACGATTATAGAGCAGATCATTTGGTAAATGGTGTTTCTGTCAGGCAAAAAAGGTGATGATTTAAATTCTCCAAGGAGATCTGTTTTAACTAAAATAATATGAAGAGGTTTAAATTTTAATTTTGCGAAATTTCATAAAATTCAGTGGGGGTAATAGATGTAAAAAAAAAAAAAAAAAAAAAAAAAAAAAAAACAAGATTTTCTACAAAATATATTTCAAAAATAGTTTCATTCATATATGAATAAGTCCTGAAATTTTTATTAAAAGCGGACAATTTGGTTTTTGCAAGAATTTCCAAAACAACGTGTTTATTTTATTTTTTTTTTTCCGGAAAAAGACGCTAACTTTCCCATATTAATCTTTTTCCTACCACTGACGCAAGAAAAACAAGATTTTAACCAAAAATTCCGAACGTGTTAGAAAAGATTAAAAAATGTAATAAAATAATTAAAAAATACATTCGCTTTTCCTTTTAATAATAACATAAACATTTTGACGATCAAATTTTTTTACAAAGTTTGGAGCCTTTTTCATTATGCTATGCTTTTTTTTTTAGAACATTTTTGGAGGTCGCTAGTATAAAGTACTAGCAGCATGACCCGGCGTTGCCCGGGCTTGATTCAAAAATCGTACAACTCATACAGCAATCCGCTATCACTTGACTAAAAATATTTTTGCCCTTCCTTGCCTTTAAAGGAGTGCCCTTCGCCGTGCTGATGTTGCTACATGCCTATCTCACACTGCGAATTTTTTTCCAAGCTCTATACTAAACATTAAATCTGTTACGAAAAAAGAACTAAACAAAATGAACACAAAACGATCAGCTTTAAAAAAGGACTCGTAACTGGAAAAACCGAATGAAATACTTTTTCACACCCAACACAGTTCTGAGGAATCAGAATCAACGTTGAGTTTAAACAAGCGAATGAGCCAATTGGAGTAAAGTGCGATGCAGATTTAAATTTTTCCACTTTTGACGAATGCAGCTATCGATTTTTTTGCATGCTAGTTAACATTCGTGTCGGTCAGCTGTTGGCTCTCACGCTGGCCAATAGAATCTTCCTGCCTATTCGTGGAAGCCAGCTCTCACTCCGACCAGTAGAAAAAAGCCGCAAACTACATGAAAACTGCCGTAGCAGCATGAAAAAATCGATTGGGAGTTGGGAAATGCAGAGTCGGTCTTGGCCTTCCCACTAATGTGCATGTAAATTTTGGTGCAAATCCGTCGAAAATTGAGGCCGTGCATTCGTTACACACACACACACACACACACACACACACACACACACACACACACACACACACACACGCACACGCGCGCGCACACACCCTGCCTTTTATAGATAGAGATGCAGACTGGACTCTCAAGACTGGTGTCACAACTAGGCTGAGAAAAGAAAAAGGCTTGTGGGGAAGATAACGGGATGCCACTGCACTATCTTACGCAAAAAGGCATTGTTATTGAGAGATAATAAAGAAACGGTCTGTGTGGAGTGAAATGATCACCCCGAACTGGACATAGAGATGACAATAAAATATAGGTCACAGGTACAATAATTGAAGATCGATGATAGAGAATGATGCCACAAATTCGCAATGTCAGAATCAATATTTGACTTGTTAATTAACAAGGAATGTTTAACATTCGGTTGGAGCGTCTGTCATGAAGTCACGTCTGCAATCTGTACGATTCCCGATGGATCTTTCGCTTAATGGAGAACCGAGTTTACAGTCGATCTACGTTATCTTAATGTTAACATCACGGTAATTATTCGAATTTTCGACCGCCGACCATCAGCTGATGGATCTCCAGATATCCCCAGACCTCATCTTCGAAACGACTCCTGAAACAGCTTGGTAGTACGAGTGCTTCCAATCGAATGCTGTGTGTATTAGATGACGGGTTGTCGAAGTCGTCAGGAGAGAATGCACCCTCATCGGAGCCTGTCTCCCGACGGATTTTACTACAAACCAGTACCACTCAAAATTATGAGGCCCCACCTCACGATTTGACTGGTTTTATTACTTGTCAACTACTCCATCCGGGAATAATTTCCTCAGACATCATTTCTTTTGAACCAGTTCCAATCGTTCGCGTTTTCACTTGCTGCTTGGATATTCTTTACGATTACTCCGCTTGGTTGAAATTCGAGCAAGCAAGCGCCTAAGTATACTTTGCAGCCAGCCATATCAGGGAAATGTTTATCCTAGCATAATGCTTTTTTAACTTGTTCAATAAGTCTCAAGAGTCAATCAAGGTAGAATGATACTAAATGAGCTGTGTGATATGAATTGGAAGTGAGGATTATGCGGACGCCGTAACGATTGAACGTTGGCTTTAAGAAATTAACATTGTAGTGGGAGTCTGTTCTACAAAACAGAAGATCTTTGGTAAAGCTGTCTGGGTGGAGAATTACGATTGGGGTAAGAGTGAGGGTGGTTTGAATCTTTGGAAACAGTATAGCGGGTCTTAGATCTAAAGTCTGAAATGGTTCAGCTCTTTGGAACATTTGCCATGGAAATAGCGATAGTTTAGCGAGAGGCTTACGCTGTTTCGTCTGTCGGAGTGGGTCTGCAGGATGAGACATATCAATTCCACCCCCAGAAGGCTGCGTGATTTTTTTAAAACCTAGGATAGAAAAATAATGATTGGGCAATTTTTCGAGTTCCTCCACTAGTTTTGCATGCTGGTCATCGTTTCGGAGCAGCATCATGGGTGTGCGAGTGGTGTACTAGATAGATTCTCTGCATAAGTAATCAGAGAGCCGAGTTCGAATTTCAGCCGAGTTCGTTACATTCACCTAAGTGCAAATACCCTTGCGAAAGATATAAATCTATCACTGCGTTTAAATAAGTAGGCTGGGCTCCTTTGTTTGGGCTGGCAACGAGCCTAGGAGAAGGACAACTCTGAATTCAAAACCGGTTGAACATAAAGCTAGCAGCTTTATCTTACTTACAAATATTCACCACCGCATAGAAAATTATTTATTACATATCAGGCTATCATTTTTACTTAGTTTTCCTTTATACATTGCTTAGTTTCTGAAAGGTATTTTTTGCTATTTTTATTCACCACCATATAGAAAATTATATTATATATCAGGCTAGAATTTCTACCTGGTTTCCCTTTATACATTGCTTAGATTTTGAAAGGCATTGTTCGCTATTTTCATATGCCTTTTGAATTTCTGTGGCACATGTTCCTTTACACTACCCAGATAACT